GGTCTTTATTAGAGCAATGAAAGTCAAAACAACAATTTTTAGAATTTTTATCTGTTTGTCTGTCCGTCTGTATGTTTGCACGCGCATAACTAGAGGTCTGACTCAAAATATAGAAAGAAAAAAATTAGACAGTTGCCACCTGTTTAAAAATTACAGTTTAAGTAAATTGATAAGATTAAGTAAATATTGCAATATGGCTGTCAAAAGAAGAAGGCTTACAGCCGAAAATATCTTTGTGAAGGATGCCACACGTTTAAAAATTTGTATTTAATTCAATTGATAACACAGATTTAATACTGTAAGATGTGTATCAAACTGAAGAGGTTTCGGGAAGTTTACTGCCGAAAATATTTTTGCGGAGGGTTGCCACCTGTTTGAAAAATTGTGTTTAATTAAATTAATAAAATGAATGAAATATTACTATACGGGGTATCAAACAACAAAGAAAACTTAAACCGCCAAATGTATTTCTGATTGTTAGTGCCTTAAATATACATGTTATATATACAGTGACGAGCAAAACTGTAATATGGAGTAACACTTTTTATTTCAGCTGTCGCTATCTTTCCAAGTTCTAACGACATTCATACTGTTGTATATTTTTATTGGTACATCTTTGCTTCTTCTGTCATAACGATTTGAAGTCAATTCAACAACATTAACAAAACCAGCAGCAAAAATGTAAATTAAGGCAAATGTTACAGTTTTGCACTCATATATTTTTAATAACTTTTTGACAATTTTCACAAAAAAAAAAAGAATTATTAACACAATGCTCAGTATGCTTTTGCTTTATTTAGTTCTAGGTTGCAATTTGGCATACCTATTGTGTATGTCTGTAAAAATTCTGGAGGTATAGCCTCCCATATATCCTTGGTGTGCTTTCACAGCTCATGTACTCCATTGNCCACATGTATTTTGATCAAATTTGCTTTTTCTTCTTTTATGATTCATTTTGCTCAATTTGGCAATTTTTCGCCTCACTATCTACTGATTTGCATTCAATTTTAATACCTTAAGCGCTTCTGTAATAGTGCCTGCGGCGCTACTTGCTACTAAGTTCACAAGATATCGGACTGAAATATATTTTGACAGACTTCCTTTGTCCTTAGTAACACCTTAGGCTATATTTTTTCTCAGTCTTAACTCCACAATTTTTTGCCACTTTCCCTGCGGTCCCGCCTTTCCGCAGTAAATCTATTATTTACATTTATGTATGTTTCCTGATTAACCATATTATTTATTGGTGATCACTTCTTGAATAAATTACAATACAGAAAAAAGTCATTTGACTTCCAACTAAGCAAACGATATCTGTAAAATGCAAAACTGAGAGTGAGTGCAAAACTGTAACATTTGCCTTAACTTACATTTTTGTCTCCAGATTTTTTTTTTTTTTGTTGTTGGATTGACCTCAAATCGTTATGAGAGCGGGAGTAGGGGTGTACCAATAAGAATATACAACAAAACTATGAAAGTCGTTAGAACTATGAAAGATAGCGGTGGCTGAAATAAAAAGTGTTACATCATGTTACAGTTTTGCTCGTCACTGTATGTAATTATGGTGCCTCACCAAAAAAAATCGCTCTTTTGCATCGAAATTATAAAGGTCAAAAATATTACAAATTACCGCAGATGATAAAAGAGTTAAGACTTAAAAGGTCTGCATAAAAATACTTAAAAATTTTATCAACGGAATCAAAGTATATAATAAGAATTTTGTAAGTATTTTAAAATTGGTCCTAATATTTTCCGAATTATTTTGGCACATACCTTGACGTAAGTACATTAAATTTTATAATTCCGTTGCAGAAAGAGTACCGATGTTATTTTTTTTTTTGTTGACAGTAATGTACCCTAATGTTAATAGATATGCAGTTATGTATGCATATTTTTAACTACCCAATGTCACTGTGTCCTGTTTTAAGGCGTGCAGCTGCATAAATACGCATAGATTGTACTACTCATTTTATGCCCCCACGCTTTTTTTTTATGAATATATATTTGCACTTGCATATAAACGTAAATATGTATGTATGTGGCATGCATTTGGACACATGAAAACGAGAACATAAAAACGCCAACCAACAGCTACTGTTTATGATAGAAGTTACTAAAAACTTTTTCAACTGCTGCGTTAAATACATAAAATGCACGCGGTAAGTATGTATAAATGACAATTAGTATTGTAAACAATTTGCAGTATATTGCGTTCAAAAAACTTATATGTAGATACATACATACATATGTATGCATGCAAGTTTATGGAGAAAACAAGCACATGCAAACCAACATAATTTATCACGTTAAAGTAATAAAAACCTAACGCCTTTTGTAAATATAGTGCAAAATTTTAGTAAACAATAGAATTTTAATACGCCAAAGTTTGCAAAAAAATATATGTACGATGTTCATTTTGGAACCTAATTTCCTATAAAAGCTTTGAGTTGACTGCATTTGATGCTCCAGTATTATTCGTAGTGTCGCTTAACATACTGTAGTACTTCTAGTAATTCTCATCATTCTCATACGTGCAGCACATAAGTGAAGTCGGGCAAACGAGAATTGTGCGGAAAATGCATAGATTTTATAGAATTAAAATATTCTTAATTTGCATTTTTGCAATAATTGAGACTTTTAAGGAAGTTGGTGGTACACCAAAAACAGTAGTTGAACAAAAAGTACTGCCACTTGGCCAATTATCCGAAATCCACGATGGAAAATTGGAAAGAAGCGTAGGTGATATTTTATCGATAGTGCCAAGATAATTTTTTTCATTTCCTCGCAAATATTTATTATTGTCTACATATTATTTGTATTTAACAGAAACGTGGCTTCTTGGATTATCTGCTGTCGGGACTCGTTGAATATTTTGATTACAGCGATGAAGATGACTCTGAAGAGGATGAAAAATATTGTGAACACTTACAAAATATTTTCATAATAAGTTAATTGATTTTAGTTTCCCTTTATTTCTAGTGATATGTCGAAATTGCACAATTCTTATTAGCCAGCAAGATAGTCACATAAGCGCCGCGGTGCGACCAACTGTTGCTCCCGCATCTTTGGAAGGCGAAAATAAGTACCCAAATGGAGTAGGTTGGTATATATAAATATATAAATACATATACATATAGTACATAGAATTTCATTACTGTTGCCATATATTCGGATACGTCTGGCATTTTAATTATTTTTTTTTTTAATTTTAAATCTTCCGACGGGAAA